GCCCCTTGACGCAAGGAAGGCAGGGCGGGGCAGGCGAGGGCGGGAGGGGAGGCAGGGACCTGGGAAGACCAGAGACAAGGAGGCGGGAGTGCATGCCACGAAGGCGTCGCAAGGAGGGGTGACCCAGGCGGTGGTGCCACAGGAGAGTCTGGTGCGACAGGAGGCGACACGAGCAAGGGGGTGCTACCCGACCTGACGTGGACACCTGGGCAGACGCAGCTACCTGAGGAGGCTCGGTAGCCAGTGTGTACAGACTCGACCCAGGCCGACGAGTGAACGTGGCCAGGTGACGGCCTGTCCGTGTACACGTGTAGATTGACACACGCTGACCCCCAGGAGTGGTGGTAGTGACCATTGCATCCTGGAGGGCAGCGGTACTCACCAAGTTCGTAGAGCACGAGGCGAGGTGAAGACCTGACAGTGAGCCGGACGGAACCGCCGGACACAGGAGAACAGTGGAGGAACGGGCAAGGACTGGGCCCCCTAAGGGGTCAGCCAGTCTGACCGGTATAGGTGCAGAGAGAGGAGTGAGGGTGGTGCTGTCATGAAAGAAATAGCATGAAGCACCTGAGTCAAGCATAAAGGTGTGCAAGGCCTCAGCAGACGCAGTACAAGGGAGAGCAGACTCACTAGCACCTAGAGCAGCGGCCTCTATACCTGGGTCAGGCGGCATACACAGGTAACAGTCACCCTCAGCACTAACTTAACAAGGCATACATAGCAGGAAGGATAGTATCATAGTCTAGGTCAAAGATAGCAACTCCAGACCTAAGCAGCTCTGCCCAGCGGGGGCGCTCGGCCTCGTCACCAAACTTCGCGCTCCAAGCATCGTTGAGGCGGGAGAAGCAGCGGTACTGAGTGTGAGGCTTCCCGCATGTCTGACCAGCACGATCACCCGTGCGAATGACATACGGGCAGCTACCACTACCCCCAGACGCCACACACTGAGAAAATCACTCACGAAGCTGTTGGGGTCTCGCTCCAACGCTGCTACTGCTGCCTCTGGCCACCGCCAGAACCTCCACGCTAATTAGCTCCAGCCCGACCGCCACCACTCCCACTGCCGCCACTACCACCACCCCCACCGCTGCCATCACCACCTCCACCAAAGCCCCCACTCCCACCACAACTCCCACTACCGCCACCACCTCCACTGCCTCCACCACCTCCACTGCTGCCCCCACCACCACCCCTGCTGCCATCGCCACCACCCCTGCCACCCTTGCCCTTGCTGCTGCGGCGCTTCGCGCTAGCAGAAGCAGCCCCAACGTCCTCAGCACCACAGATGTCAACAGTAGCAGCAGAGGCGTAGGAGGGGGCAAGGGGGGGGAGGGAGCACCCCTCAAAGAAGGGCATGCGCGGAGTGCCACGAGCAGCACCTACAGCGACTACACTAGTCTCAATTGCAAGGAGGTGCTGCTCTAGTAGGTCAACAGTGAGGACTGTGGGGTCAAGTGAGAGAAAGTGGTCCTTGACAGAGCGAAGAGAGTCAGGGAGGCGGGTGACTATAAAGTAGAGAGTGATGAACATCGGGGGTGGGTTCTTGGCAAGGAACTCAGCTGGGGCGGTAGCGCGGTAGCGAGCGTCACTGGTGCAAAGGTGGGAAACCAGGTCCTCTACTGTGGCAAAGGCGGACAGCTCGGGAAACAGGTAGGGCAGTAGAAGACGGCCTAGAGCAGCAGTGGCAGGCGAGGAGTAACGGGCGACTACAGCGTTGTACAGTGCCTGTGCTGTCCTGTGCTGTCCGAAGTGAGCACATTCGGCTAACGGCAGGTGGTTGCGAATGGCTAAGCAAGCAGCAGCCTCACGAGTAAGCCACTGTGAGCGAGTCGCACTGTCTGCTGTGGCGGGAGGGGCGGGAGTGGCGCCAGACATGTGGTCAAACAACGAAACGATGTCCCTAGAGTCGCTCAGTAGGTACAGCTGCAGGTCGTCGAGCCACGTGTCAAACTGGATCGGTCGGCCCTCATGATCGAAAGCAAGAGTGCGGAGAGAAGCCATAGCGGCGCAGCACGCAGGGCGGGCAGAGGCCGGGCAGCACAGGCTGCAAGAGGGGCGGCTCGAGGGCCTAGGGGTGTCCGGCGGGTCGAAATGGGCGGCACGCAGGGCTGCAAGGGCGGCTCACGGGCTGCAGGGGCGAGGGGCGGGCCGCAAGAGGCGGCGCGGGGACGGGCGGGCCGGGCTAGGGTCGACGGGTGGGCGGGGCCTAGGGTCAACGGGCGGGCCGGGGCCTAGGGGTGACGGGCGGGCCGGGCTAGGGTCGACGGGCGGGCCGGGTCTAAGGTCAACGAGCGGGCGCGCGGGGCAGCAGGGTCGATGGGCGGGCCGGGGCCTAAGGGCGAGGGGCGGGCCGGAGCCTAGGGTCAACGGGCGGGCCGGGCTAGGGTCGACGGGCGGGCCGGGCCTAGGGTCGACGGGCGGGCGTGCGGGGCGGCAGGGGCGATGGGCAAGCCTGGGCCTTGGGTCGAAGTGAGGGCCGGGGCCAAGGGGCGACGGGCTGGCCGCGCTAGGGTCGACGAGCGGGCGCGTGGGGTAGTAGGGTCGACGGGCGGACCGGGGCCTAGGGGCGACGGGCGGGCCAGGCCTAGTGTCGACGGGGCGCGCCGGGGCCTAGGTTCCACAGGGCGGGCCAGGGCCTAGGGTCGGCGGGGCGCGCCGGGGCCTATGGTCGACGGGGCGGGCCGGGGCCTAGGGTCGACGGGGCGGGCCGGGGCCTAGGGTCGACTATTTATTTAGAGGATCTCATTAACAATCATAATTTATTTAGTTGTTATTCTCGAGGTTATTTCGAATTTCAGAATAAATCAGATTCTAACAACAGATTATGGTTTGTATAAAATGTAAAAAAATATGTACAGGTACTACTTCAAATTTAACTGTGCGTTCCCCAGCGGCTCCCAGCACAACCGAACGTGCACGTCATTCAACATTGAAGAATCAAAACGCAATGCTTGCATGTCACTTTGGCGTGCGACATAAATCACCAGTGTTCTCTCCAATCAGATGTCGCTCACATTACGAAATATCAATGAATTTGTGACTGTTTGTGATTCCAAACAAAAATCCAGCGGGTGCCCGCATTCCGGATGGGAAGTGCGGGAAACTCGCGCACAAGCAGCGCGCGCAATCGTGGTCCATCCAATTAAGGGAAACGCCGACGTGGCGAGGTTGCAATAATTTGGGTCGATGCTGAAACAAGGCAATCATGGCCTTGTTGTCTATGTACAGAACTGGAGGTGAACGAGGCCGCTCTCCCAAGTCAGTCAGCAGGTAGGTGAGCCAGCGTAGCTCCTGTGCAGCCATGGCCCCTGCGTAGATCTCAGCCTCATAACTGGAGCTGAGAACCGAAGACGAGCGGGTAGACCGCCAAGAAACAGAGCCCGAACCGAGGCTGAAGGTGTAAACCTGTGACGACCACTGCGTAGCTGAGTCATCAACCCAAGAAGCGTCTGCGTGACCAGTGAGGACAACTGGACCCCGTCCTCCAAGCACGAGCCCCATGCCTGACGTACTGCACAAGTAACGCAGTACCCTCTTCGCAGCATCCCAGTGCACCTTTCGGTGCCTACGGGAGCCACGTAGCGAGCCAGAAGGCTGAGAGAGTACGCGAGGTCAGGTCGTGTGCACGTCATCAGGTACATGAGGCAACCCACAAGCTCTGGGTACGGACCACTCGGCTCTACGGACTCGTCCAAAGATGGAGCTGACAGCTAAAGGCTGGAAGACAGAGGAGTGGGCTGTGGCGAGGAGTACTGGAAGCCGAAGCGCTCAAGGACCTGGTGCACCATATGTGACTGAGTCAAGGTGATGGTGCGCCGTGCTCTGTCCCGGGTGATCTGCAAGCCAAGATAGCTGCGCATTTCACCCAGGTCAGTGTAGGTGTGTCTCTTCTGCAGCTCCAACTTCACAAGGGTCAGTGCCTCAGTGTCAGCAGTGGCAAAGACCAAGTCGTCAATGTACACAAGGACGTAGAACAGCGGCAGCGAAGTGTCGGTGCGTAGAAACAGTGACGGATCAGCAGTAGAAGGAGCTAACCCAAGAGCCGCAAGTGTCATCCTCAGTGTGTCGTGCCACTCGCGAGGTGCCTGGTGGAGACCGTAGACTGGCCGCCGGAGGCTCCACTGGGTACCTGCAGGAAACGACCCAGTGAAGCCAGGTGGGCGGCGCAGCCAGATCTCCTCGTGCAGGCTGCCCTGTAAGAAAGCTGTGCTGAAGTCGAGAGAGTGCAACTCGTAGTCACGCTAGGCAGCGACGTGCAGCAACACCCGAAGAGTGGTCATCTTCGGGGTGGGGGAGAAGGTCTGGAAGTAGTCGACCTCCTCTCACTGACTGAAGCCTCTAGCAACGTAACGCGCCTTGAAGCCAGGCGGAGAACCCGGCAGCCGCATCACCCTGAAAATCCACATGCCATCAACTATGTTCGCCCAAGACGGGGGAACTGCATTGTCGTAGGTGCCTGTGGACTTCCAGGATGCCATCTCGGCATCCATGGCTGCCTGCCACTGAGAGGAGTAAGGACCCGTAATCGCCTCTGCGTAAGAGCGCGGGGTCAGGATGTCTGGTGGATCTGGGTCTCCCTCAGGGGCAAGCAGCATGGAAGCAAAACGAGGTAGAGCAGCTGCAAGAAACTCAAAGTCCTCCTGCCTGTCCTCAAGGACGTCCGTGCCAAGAGCACACTCACCCTCGACGGACAGAGGACTGGCAGACTCAGACTCAGCAACAAGAGCAGTGGCGTAGTCGAGGCGACATGCAGCAGTAATGTCAACTAGCTCCGCACCCCCAGGCTCCGCACCCCCAAGCTCCACACCGGCTGGCTCAGCACTCCCAGGCTCCACACCCCCAGGCTCAGCACTCCCACACCCAGCATCCTCAAAATCAACGCCTCCAGGCTCAACACCCCCAGACGCAGCACATCGAGCAGCACCTGAGTCACCGGCTACCTTGACAGGCACAGTACCAGGGAGAGGGTCTACCTGAGACACACCTGAGGGAGAAGGACCCTAGGGCGGGAGGGGGCCTATTGGAGGAGGACCAGGAGCATGGAAGAGCGGCGGGGGCAGGGGAGGGGCAGAGCAGTAGGGGAAGAGACGGTAAAAGGGAACCGACTCGTCAAACGTGACGTCCTTAGAGTAGAGGACACGGCGCGAGGTGGGGTGGTAAAATTTCCAACCAGGCGCGTCAGGGGGAAAGCCAAGGAAGACGCAGGGAATAGCGGGAGCGGAGAGCTTGTCCGCGGACGTATCACGAACAAAGGCACGAGAGCCCCAGACCCGGAACACCGACGTATCACCAACCTTCCCCGTCCAACGCAGTGTAGGCGAGGTCTCCGGCAAGGAGACACGGGGCCAGAGGTTGAGCTGATGCGCTGCGCAACGGACCGCAAACGGCCACAGAAAATGGGGGGCAGCCGCATGGATCATGGAGGTACAAGCGACCTCCATGCCAAAGCCAATGCGATGCTCAGCAATCCCATTCTGCTGCGGAGAGGCCGGAAGCGTGAACGACCGGGTGATGCCTTCCCCATGACAAAAGTCCCTCAAGAGGTCGGAGAACTCACCACCATTGTCAGAGTGCAGGCGCAGGACAGGAAGGTCCTGGCCGAAACGCTCGCCCAGCTGGAGACAGACCGCGCGGATCCAAGGGATCAAAACATCAGGGACTTCACCCTTGGTGTGCAAGGGGAAGACCGTGGTGAAACGCGTGTTGTCGTTAACAACCAGCAGAAAGTAGCGCTCGCAGCCCTGTCCACTCACGCGGGCTGGGCCCCACACGTCCATGTGGAGAGTCAGCAGGGGAGCAGTCATCGGGGGAAACGAGGAGTGAGGAGCGGCGCGCTGCCGCCCCTCGACGCAAGGAAGGCAGGGCGGGCCAGGCGAGGGCGGGAGGGGAGGCAGAGACCTGGGGAGACCAGAGACAAGGAGGCGGGAGTGCATGCCACGAAGGCGTGGCAGGGAGGGGTGACCAAGGCGGTGGTGCCAGAGAAGAGTCTCGTGCGACAGGGGGCGACACGAACAAGGGGGTGCTACCTGACCTGACGCGGACACCTAGGCAGACGCAGCTACCTGAGGAGGCTCAGTAGCCAGTGTGTACAGACTCGACCCTTGACGACGAGTGAACGTGGCCAGGTGACGGCCCGTCCGTGTACACGTGCAAATCGACACACGCTGACCCCCAGGAGTGGTGGTAGTGACCATCGCATCTTGGAGGGCAGTTTTACTCACCAAGTTCGTAGAGAACGAGGGAAGGTGAAGACCTGGCAGTGAGCTGGACGGAACCGCCGGGCACAGGAGAATAGTGGAGGAACGGGCAACGACTGGGCCCCCGGAGGGGTAAGCCAGGCTGACCAGGACAGGTGCAGAGAGCGGAGTCAGGGTGGTGCTGTCACGAAAGAAGCAGCGCGAGGGACCTGAGTCCAGCGTGAAGGTGTGCAAGGCTTGAGCAAGCGCAGTACCAGGGAGAGCAGACTCACTAGCACCTAGAGCAGCAGCCGCTATACCTGGGTCAGGCGGCACACACCGGTAACAGTCACCCTCAGCACTAACAGACAATGCATACATAGCAGTAAGAATAGCATCAAAGTCTAGGTCAAAGATAGCAATTCCAGACCTAAGCAGCTCTGCCCAGCGGGGACCTCGTGACCAAACTCAGCACGCCAAGCGTCGTCAAGGCGGGAGAAGCAGATGTGGTGAGTGTGAAACCTCCCGCATGTGTGACCAGCACGGTCACCCGTCCGAATGATATTCGGGCAGCTACATCTACCCCCAGATGTCCCATGTTGAAACAACCACTCACGAAGCTGCTGGGGCGACTGGGCCTCGTTCCGACGCTGCTGCTGCTGCCTCTGGCCACCTCTAGAACCTCCACGCTGAGCTCCAGTCCTACCGCTACCAGTCCCGCCGCTGCCACAACCCCCACTCCCACCACTGCCTCCACCGCCGCCAGCAGAGACCCTACTCCCGCCACCACTCCCACCGCTGCCACCACCTCCACTTCCTCCACTACTTCCACTGCTGCCCCCACCTCCACCCCTGCTGCCACCACCACCACCCCTGCCACCCTTGCCCTTGCTGCTGCGGCGCTTCCCACTAGCAGAAGCAGCCCCGACATCCTCAGTGCCAGGGACGTCTACAGCAGCAGCAGAGGCGTAGGAGGGGGCAAGGGGGGAGGGGGAGCACCCCTCAAACAAGGGCGTGCGCGGAGTGCCACGAGCAGCACCTACAGCAACTGCACTAGTCTCAGCTGCAAGGAGGTGCTCCTCGAGTAGGTTAACAGTGAGGGAGGTGGGGTCAAGGGAGAGAAAGTGGTCCCTGACAGAGCGAAGAGAGTCAGGGAGGCGGGTGACTATGAAGTAGAGAGTGATGAACATCGGGGGCTGGTTCTTACTCAGCAGGGACGTTAGCGCAGTAGCGAGCGTCGTTAGTGCGAAGGTGGGAAACAAGGTCCTCTACTGTGGCAAAGGCGGACAGCTCGGGGAATAGGTAGGGCAGTAGCAGGCGGCCTAGAGCAGTAGTGGCAGGCGAGGAGTAGCGAGCGACTACAGCGTCGTACAGTGCCTGTGCTTTCCTGTGCTGTCCGAAGTGAGCGCATTCGGCTAACGGCAGGTGGTTGCGAATTGCTAAGCGGGCAGCAGCGTCGCGAGTAAGCCACTGTGAGCGAGTCGCATTGTCAGCTGTGGCGGGAGGGGCGGTAGCGGCGCCTGACGCGAGGTCAAACGGCAAAACACTGTCCTTAGAGTCGCTCAGTAGGTACAGCTGCAGGTCGTCGAGCCATGTTACAAACTGAATCGGTCTGCCCTCATGATCGAACGCGAGAACTCGAAGCGAAGCCATAGCGCCGCAGCATGCAGAGCGGGGAGAAGCAGGGCAGCGCAGAGAACAGGGCAGGCAGCAGCAGCAGGAGTAGCAGCAGCAGCACGCAAGAGCAGCAGAGAGGGGCGGCAAGCAGGGCAGTAGCAGCAGCACGCAAGAGGCGGCGTGCGGGGCCTGAGTTCGACGGGCTGGCCGGGACCTATGTTAGGGGCAAAGGGCTGGGGCCGGGGCCTACTGGCGACGAGCGACAGGCCGGGGCGACGGGCCTAGGGGCGGCGGGCCTAGGGGCGACGAGCCTAGGGGCAACGTGCCGGCGGGGGTGTGCCTAGGGGAAACGGGCCGGGGGTCGACGGGCCTAGGGGATACAGGCTGGGGCGACAGGCCTAGGGCGGCGGGCCGGGGCGATGGGGCCTAGGGCGGCGGGCCGAGGGTCGACGGGCCGGGGCGGCGGGCCTAGGGGGCGACGGGCCGGGGCTCGACGGGCCGGGGCTGCGGGCCTAGGGGCGACGGGCCTAGGGGCGACGGGCCGGTGCGGCGGGCCTAGGGGTGATGGGCCGGGGCGGCGGGCCTAGGGGCGATGGGTCGTGGTTCGACGGGCCGGGCCGGCGGGCCTAGGGGCAGCGGGCCAAGGGGCGACGGGCTGGGGCGGCGGGCCTAGGGGCGACTGGCCGGGGGTTCGACGGGCCGGGGCGGCAGGCCTTGAGGTGACGGGCCTAGGGGCGACGGGCCGGGGCAGCGGGCCTAGGCTCGACGGGCCGGGGGCCGAGGCGACGAGCCTAGGGCGACAGGCCTAGGCTATGGGCGACGGGCCGAGGGTCGACGGGCCGGGGCGACGGGCCAGGGGCGACGGGCCTAGGGCAACGGGCCTAGGGGCGACGGGGCGGGGGTCAACGGGCCTAGGGGCGACGGGACGGGGCGACGGGCCAAGGCTAGGGGCGACGGGCCGGGGGTCGACGTGCCTAGGGGCGACGGGCAGCCCGCACGACGACGGCGCTAGGGGCGGCTAGTGGGGTATGTCAAAGTAACGAACGAGGATGAATGAACTAGCAAACGGTTGGGTACAAGTACTAACCCTAATTGGGTTGTACCCCTTATGGGCTACCCCACTACAGCCTACACAAATGTATAAGCTATAATGTTCTGACACACCCCCATAGGCAAAGTGGGGGAGAACAAGTGGTCACAAGACCAGTCAAGAAAAGCAAAGCAAGCTCAGGGTGGATCACAAAGTCACCACACTGTTCGAGCACAAGCAAAGGGCCACAAGGCCAGTTCACATGCAAAGTTATATAAAGAGAACAAACAATACAGTGATCATACCCTAGCAAGTGCAAGCATGTAGGTATATATATAGATCACATTACAAGCAGAGTCAAGCAGTAAGCAAGTGAGGCAAAGTAGGCACAAGGCCTAACACAGAAGCAAAGCGCTGATGATCACCAGGCGGAAGTACCTTGGTGAATACATCAGCAGTGTTGGCCCAAGTGGCCACGTACGCAAGACGAAGCTGGCCACGCTGCTGCAACTCTCGAGCAAGGAAGTATCGCAGAGCGATGTGCTTCGTTCGATGCTCCAGTCTGTGCTCCTGACACAAGGCAATCATGGCCTTGTTGTCTACGTACAGAACTGGAGGCGAACAAGGCTGCTCTCCCAAGTCGGTCAGCAGGTAGGTGAGCCAGCATAGCTCCTGAGCAGCCATGGCCCCGGCGTAGATCTCAGCCTCACAGCTGGAGCTGAGGACCAAAGACGAGCGGGTAGACCGCCAAGAAACAGAGACGGAACCAAGGCTGAAGGTGTAACCCTGTGACGACCGCTGCGTAGTTGAGTCGTCAACCCAGGAGGTGTCTGCGTGACCAGTGAGAACAACTGGACCCCGTCCTCCAAGCACAAGCCCCATGCCCGACGTACTGCACAGGTAACGCAGTACCCTCTTCGCAGCATCCCAGTGCACCTTTCGGTGCCTACCGGGAGCCACGTAGCGAGCCAGAAGGCTGAGATGTGAGATAGTAGGCGAGAATGATTTACTAGGAAGTGACGAGGGGTACAAGTAGAATGTCGAGAGAAAACTGTACCCCCTAAGGCTAAACCCACTATAGCCTAGACAACTGTAAACACATAAACTAATCCTAGATATAACTAAGCATATATGTTTGACACACCGCCATAGGCGAAGTGGGGGATAGCCAGAACGAGTAATGGTCACAAGACCAGTCAAGAAAGGCAAAGCAAGCTCAGGGTGGATCACAAAGTCACCACACAGTCCGAGCACAAGCAAAGGGCCACAAGGCCAGTTCACATGCAGAATTATATACAGAGAACAAACAATACAGTGATCATATCCTAACAAGTGCAAGCATGCAGGTATCTGGATAGATCACAGTGGAGGCAGAGTCAGGCAGTAAATAAGTGAGGCAAAGTAGACACAAGGCCTAACACAGTAACAAAGCGCTGATGGTCACCAGGCGCAAGTGCCTTGGTGAAGACATCAGCAGTGTTGGCCCGGGTGGCCACGTACGCTAGACGAAGCTGACCACGCTGCTGTAACTCTCGAGCAAGGAAGTATCGCAGAGCGATGTGCTTCGTTCTGTGCTCCAGTCTGTGCTCCTGACACAAGGCTATCATGGCCATGTTGTCTACGTACAGGACTGGAGGCGAACGAGGCTGCTCTCCCAAGTCGGTCAGCAAGTAGGTGAGCCAGCGTAGCTCCTGAGCAGCCATGGCTCCGGCGTAGATCTCAGCCTCACAGCTGGAGCTGAGAACTGAAGACGAGCGGGTAGACCGCCAAGAAACCGAGCCGGACCCAAGGCTGAAGGTGTAACCCTGCGACGACCGCTGCGTAGCTGAGTCGGCAGCCCAGGAGGCGTCAGCGTGACCAGTGAGGACAACAGGACCCCGTCCTCCAAGCACAAGCCCCATGCCCGACGTACTGCACAGGTAACGCAGTACCCTCTTCGCAGCATCCCAGTGCACCTTTCGGTGCCTACCGGGAGCCACGTAGCGAGCCAGAAGGCTGAGAGGGTATGCGAGGTCGGGTCGTGTGCAAGTCATCAGGTACATGAGGCAACCCACAAGCTCTGGGTACGGACCACTCGGCTCTACGGACTCGTCCGAAGGTGGAGCTGAGAGCGAGTGGCTGGTAGACAGAGGAGTGAGCTGTGCAGTTATGTCGAAGCGCTGAAGGACCTGGTGCACCATGTGTGACTGAGTCAGTGTGATGGTGCGCCGTGCTCTGTCCCGGGTGATCTGCAGGCCAAGGTAGCTGCGCAGTTCACCCAGGTCAGTGCAGGTATGTCTCTTCTACAGCTCGGACTTCACTAGGGTAAGTGCCTCAGTGTCAGCCGTGGCAAAGACGAGGTCGTCGACGTACACTAGGACGTAGAAGGGCGGCAGCGAGGTGTCGGTGCGTAGAAACAGCGACGGGTCTGCTGTAGAAGGAACAAACCCAAGAGCCGCAAGTGTAGTCCTGAGTGTGTCGTGCCACTCGCGAGGCGCCTGGCGGAGACCGTAGACTGGCCGGCGGAGGCTCCACTGGGTACCTGTAGGAAACGACCCAGTGAAACCAGGTGGTCGGCGCAGCCAGATCTCCTCGTGCAGGCTGCCCTGCAGGAAGGCAGTACTGAAGTCCAGGGAGTGTAACTCGTAGTCACGCTGAGCAGCTACGTGCAGCAACACCCGAAGAGTAGTCATCTTCGGGGTGGGGGAGAAGGTCTGGAAGTAGTCAACTCCCTGTCGCTTACTGAAACCTCGAGCAACGTAACGCGCCTTGAAGGCAGGCGGAGAACCCGGCGGCCGCTTCACCCTGAAGATCCACATGCCATCGACTATGTTCACCCCAGGTGGGGGAACCTCGTCGACATAAGTGCCTGTGGACTTCCAGGATGCCATCTCGGCATCCATAGCTGCCTGCCACTGAGAGGAGTAAGGACCCGTAATCGCATCTGCGTAAGAGCGCGGGGTCGGGATGTCAGGAGCATCCGGGTCTCCCTCAGGGGCAAGCAGCAAGGAGGCGAAACGAGGTACAGCAGCTGCAAGACACTCAAATTCCTCCTGCCTGTCCTCAAGGACGTCCGTGCCAAGAGCACACTCACCCCCGACGGACGGAGGACTGGCAGGCACAGACTCAGCAACTAGAGCAGAGGCGTAGTCGAGACGGCAGGCAGCAGCAAAGTCAAGTAGCTCAGCAACGAGAGCAGAAGCAGCAGCAGACTCAAAGGACGAGTCAGTGACAGCAGTGGCAAGGAGACGAGCGACAGTGGGACTGGCAGCACGCGCTCGGTCAGACTCAGGGTCAGGGACCGCAGGAAGAGAGGACTCAGGAGGAGCAGGCAGAGGAACACGCAGTGGAACAGAGGAAGGATGGAGTGCCATGGTGTGCGTGCCTGGGACAGGGGGAGGACGCGAACGAGGAGCGCAACGAGCAGTGCGAACAGGCGAGACAGGACGAGACGCAGGCTCACGACGCTCTGTAAGACCTCCGGACTGCTCAGTGTAAGGAGAGGGAACAGGCAGTGGGGAGGCTGGCTGTAACTGCGGCTGCGACTGGTCAGGCGGAGGACAC